ACTACACACACACACACACACACATATATATATTATATATATATATATATATATATATATATTTAAATATATATATATATATATACGTAGTGTGGTCATACTTCATAACTGCTCGTACCTCCACATTCGTCGTCACTGTCATCATCGAATCCTATTGGACGGTTTGACTCGCCGAATGACGTGTACATGAGACATTTGTTCTTCAGCCCCACGAGTTGACCGTACCTGAATCATGTGAAAAAACTTAGATCATATGAGAGTTGTCACCAAAGCAACCCTAATTCAAATTCAAACTTATTCCAATTGAGACCACTTTCTATGAACGTGGGCAAAGGCGAAGGTAAGCCAATACACCCCAGTCCCGACTAGAATTTGAATGGACCAGGCACAATATCTACACCCAAATGGGACATATCAAGCATATAAATACGCAAAAAAACAACAACAAAAAAACCCAGATACACAGATAGCGATAAACCATTTGATAGAGTAAAACACACGTGGCAAAGCGGAATAAACCTTCGGATGGGCACGGGGAGCGCTATGATTCGCTGGCGGATTCCTTTAAAGTTGATTTTGATTGGCTTAGGCCGAGAGCTTTCCTTGATCCCCTCGTACCTGAAGTCATGTTCAAGTATATGGCAACTTGTTATGCATCAAGGGCATGTGTGTACACGCATGCATATGTAGATATAGATATACACACCGAATATTGCACAGTCTGACAAGCATTAATGATATGTATGGTCACGCATGCATGTGTAATTATATAAGCAGCAAGTATTGAGCACCTTCCTAAGCATCGATTGCATTTGTATACATACAGGCATGTCATGTATATACCTACACACACACACACACACACACATACATACATACATACATATATACATCCAGACATACATATATACATATATCCATCCATCCATCCATCCATACATACTTATTGACACAGACACAGATACACACATATATATATATCGCATTTCCGCGCCAGATGTAGACCGAATGCACATGCACACCTACCACGCATCTCGTTGTGCCTTGCGAGCTTTCTCATCCGAAGGCGCGTCGTCGGTTTCTGATTCTTCTTCAGCACTCTCTTCTTCTTCCTGCTCCTCTGCAAATACGGAATGAGATTGCGATAGACAACACGTCCTAGTGAGAGAGAAAGCTTTAATACGTATAACTGAAAGGGATTTCATCAGAAGCTGTGATGTCATTACGTTAAGATATAATTACGAACTGCGCAGAACAAGATAGTGACATGCATGTTTCTGTATGTGAGCAAAACTGATACGTATACGTAACATTGATACGGTTTCCACATACATTGCAAGTGTTTGATATCCGGATATTTATTGCAAAGCAAAATATCTTATCTGAGAGTATGTTAGCAACCTGAACAGAATAATTATGTCAACTCGGGCAAACCCACGACAAACCTGTGACATATTGTACACACCATCTTCTATGTTTATTTGGCATCATCTCCATCATCACCTGGTGTTCTGCTATTGGAGTCTATCACATAAAATCAAATTAACTTTATAACCCAGTTATTATACAGCGATGCACACACACACACACACACACACACACATCCACACACACACATATATATACTATATTATATTTACTACACACCATCCTCTTCCTCTTCTTCGGTTTCATCATCGTCATCGCCTGGCGGTCTGAGATCGGGCAGCAACGGATTGGACACATCCGCACGCAGCGTAATTAGGTACGGTTTCTGCGCTTTAGTGAATCCCATGCCCACCTGCGTGTGTCAAGAAAAACACGTTAGTGCACCCTACTAGCTGTATTTACATGTGCGATATGCGTAGTATATACTTGTGTAAATATAGTACAACCATTATAAATATATAAATATATATTGATATATATGAGAAGCACTCACTGCAGCATGTCCTGTGGCAGCCAAGAGTACATTGAACCCAACGTAAACCGATAAAGATAACACATGAACACAAGCGCACAATGCATACAACACACAACCGACACACACAGCACCTCGTGAAGCTCGTCCTGGTAGGGCTCATAGTCACGACTAGAGATGAAGTAGAGGTAGCAGCCTTGGGGATCCCACGCCGGGCTAACGTCCATGTGATTACCCTAAAAAACCAGAAATAGGTGTGTTAATTTAGCGTTATAGGCATGATATTATTGCGTATTATATATATATATATATATATATATATATGTATATCGTTATATGTATACATCTGCAAATTGTGAAAACACCAAAAGGCTACGAAATCGTCCCCAGGATTCCCATATGTATAGCTGAAGCCTGCATGTCCCGTACTCGTGCGCCACCCAACTACATTATATTGTGCACAGGACTGTCACGCATATATAGACACCTATATACAGACTTATTACTGATGCAAGCACCCACTTGTATACGCATGCATGAATACAATACGGAATACGACACCCACCTGCGTCACATCCACACACTTCCCAGACCGTACATCGCACACGCGGATAACAGACATGCGTCTGCCTGTCCTGTACTCGTACGCTAACCAACTGCCACACGGCGAAAACGCCAAGCCACACATCGGCTCGGTGTCTGTGCATACGTCCACTGTGACAAGCTTGTTGGTGGTCAAGTTCAGCAGAAGAAGCTCGTTTCTGAGGGTGTTATGCATTGGGTGGGCAGAGAAAGTGTAAGGTAGATACAACGTGGTATTGGTAGAGGTGTGGGTAATGTAAGCCTTCAAATATATGGATGGGTGTCTCCTTGTTCCAAAAGTAGTCTGCCTAAGAGAGAGATAAAGTGAAGCAAGCCCTTAGACTATATGTATGGTTATCTATTCTATAGATAGCCAGTCCAAGAAAGGTAAAGTAAAGTACACCTCTACATTATATGAACGATAATCATGTCTATTCGCGAAAGGTAAAGTAAAGTACACCTTTACATTACACGGACGGTAATCATTGTCTATTCTATCAATAGTCTGTTCAAGAAAGATAAAGTAAAGTACACCTCTACATTACATGAACGGTAAACATTGTCTATTCTATCAATAGTCTGTTCAAGAAAGGTAAAGTAAAGTACACCTCTACATTACACGAACGGTAATCATTGTCTATTCTATCAATAGTCTGTTCAAGAAAGATAAAGTAAAGTACACCTCTACATTACATGAACGGTAATCAATGTCTATTCTATTAATAGTCTGTTCAAGAAAGGTAAAGTAAAGTACACCTCTACATTACATGAACGGTAGTCATTGTCTATTCTATTAATAGTCTGTTCAAGAAAGGTAAAGTAAAGTACACCTCTACATTACATGAACGGTAATTATTGTCTATTCCATGAATATACTGTCCATGCGAGGTAACGTAGAGTAAGGTTATTATGCTTACGCCAAAAGCTTTCAGTGATTGGATGAAGCAATCCTGTCCCCTTGACGGTGTGGGGAAAAGAAGAAGAAGCCATTTTGATTGTGTAAAATTGAATACCTGGGCATGTATCTAAAGTTATGAAATGAACATCACCGCTACGAGTGTAGTTATGCCAGCGGATACTACCTGGAACCCCGTCGATGTGTTTGAGTGCCTATGTGCGTGGTCCCAACTCATAAACGGATTCACACAGTACAATAAATAGCATTGTATCTTGATGGGGGTTAATTATGTGACAGCATAACGATACTTCGCACTGCACTTATTATCCAAATATATTGCAGATGACTTGCATGATGTACTTTCACTCTATGGATAACTTCACACCAATATATACGCACGCTCGCACAATTATATATATATATATATATATATAAATAAAAATAATATACGTAGATAAACACACACACACAACCACACACACATGCATACACACACACACACACACATATATATATATATATATACGCACACACACACACACATATATATATATATATATAAATATATAACACTCACACACACAAACACACTAATCCACACACCACACCACACAAACACACACACACACATATATATATATCACTCGTATGTCCCCTACCTGTGGTTTACTATAGCCGCATAGGGATCCACAGGCGATGTTGCCATATCCACTGGTACACCCAGCACTTGCGGATCGAGTGGCAAACGCTGTCCTTTTGTGCGTTGGTCAGTGTAGTGCACCTCTAGACCTTCCTCACCACTCCCGTCCGATGACACAAGCAACCGCGCGCCTCCTGCTAGGTATCTGTGTGCATGTGCACGCGAGACGTATGTATGTTGTGAGGAATCCACATACAGTACACCAACTAATCATGTACAATACACAAATAGGTAATCGAAACGCCAACGTAAGATATAATGCACACTTAGGTATCACTCCCATCTGAAGACACAAGCAACTCAGGGAGGCGTGTCAGTGTACATGTGCGTACGAGATATTTGTATGGCGGATATCAAGAGTATGATGTGGAAGTCCAACGCGTGCTTGTCAGATGCCTGCGTGGCGGGCTTTTCTTTGCACAAACACACATACCTCAGGTATATTTTCCGTTCCTAACAGTCTATAAGCACAGGAACCATAACATCTTACACAACCATCAGCTCACACAAACACACATACCTCATGTGTCTATACCAAGCCAATGATCAACATCACAGCTATCACATCAGCTTATACAAACACACATACCTCATGTGTCTATACCGAGCCAATCATCAACAGCACAGTTATCACATCAGCTTACACACACATACCTCATGTGTCTATACCGAGCCAATCATCAACAGCACAGTTATCACATCAGCTTACACACACATACCTCAGGTGTCTATACCAAGCCAATAGTCAATAGCACAGCTATCACTATCAGCTTATACAAACACACATACCTCATGTGTCTATACCAAGCCAATAGTCAATAGCATAGCTATCACTTCAGCATATACAAACACACATACCTCATATGTCTATACCAAGCCAATAGTCAATAGCATAGCTATCACTTCAGCATATACAAACACACATACCTCATATG